TTGGATCCACCTGAAGTGGCTGAACCGCCTGAAGGCGGTTTCCGACAACCCCATGTAAGCATCCATAGTGAATCTGAAAGTGGTATACGAATCTGGAGTGGTTGAACCACCTGAAGGTAGCTTCAGACAACCCCATGTAATTATCCATAGTGAATCTGAAAGTGGTATACGAATCTGAAGTGGTTGAACCACCTGAAGGCGGTTTCAGACAACCCCATTTAAGCATCCATGAACAAGGTATTCGTGAAAACTAGACTTGAAAAATTGTCCTGTTTGCAAATATGCAATTATTTTTTTTGAAAAATTAATTTTCCATTGGCCATTATATCTGAAACAATCTGCTGTTTTTTTCTTTTTTAAAATAATAATTATTTTTAAATTCCAAAAGGCAATGCGGCAGAGGCTTCCAAGAAAAAATATTTTCGCCAAGTCCACTTTGTTATAAAACAGTCCGCAAATCCTTCTTCGTTTTTTTTTTTTTTCTCCCCTTCAGCCATAAGTACTTGGCTCTGCTATTGATAACGAGCCTAAAAACCTTCTACGTGCCACATTCTGCCAAGCATGAAAAGAAGAGGCACCAACACATGGAGGAAAGGAGGTGGTACCGGTGCCACCCTGTGTGATACATGGGTGTAGGCCCTCGCGCCAACATGCGGAATACTTAAGGATCCGTTTTCACTCCTGAAAAAGGAAAAAAAATAGTCTAAGTTTCAAGTTGTGTCGGTTAGATGCATCCAACCAAGAATCTGCACCACATACGTTGCTCTAGAAGTTGTGGCACTGTCGGCCCTGCACTTTTCAGAGGGATTCGTAATAACTCTTTTCGGCCTTCACGGTGCACCACCTGTCACGTGTGCCCAAATCAGGTAAATTTGTTGTTTGCATTTGTTTTTTTTTCTTTAAAGAAAACAAAAAAATGAGGAACTGCTGCAACGACCTCAAGGTATACTTGCACGAGGATCTTTGGGGAGCTTGAGGCCAATGAAGTTATGCCGAGGGTGGAAGGCATAACCATCTCGCCCGACAAAGTTGTTGTTGGGGCGGTGACCCTGTAACCTTTTGAGGGGCCAAGCAGTTAAGAGAGGTGTCGAGGGGTGAAGGCACTCTCTGTCCGTCAGAATCAGTTAGATCGGTGCTGGGGTTGTTTGTGTTGCCTTGTAACCCTAACAAGGGGGTATGAGATCTGACGAGTTCTGGTACGAGGACTGAAAGCTGGATCGGCATGTCCTTCAATCGTTGGTGAAGGTAAGTGTCGGATTGTTAGTGGTTCTCGTTTGTGCCCTTCCTCCTCTTGTTTTTTCACATGGAGGGCGAAATCGGAAGCATGGTTTGGAAGGAATTTGAGTGGGCTCATGCAGGAGGGGAAGGGTGGCTCAGGGTGGTAAGTCTATTAGGACGGGTGGGGCGACAGTGGCCGGTGCTGGAGCAGTGGCTCTGTGACCATGGGAGGAGCTTGAGGCCATTGGAGTTTGCCGAGGGTGGAAGGCATAACCACCTCTTTCAACGTAGCTGAAATCTGGGGCAGTGACCCTGTAATCCGGTAGGGGG